AGTAATTTTGTGAAGAAATCTGTAAGAGTACAGATAAAGGTAAAATGATCAACATGAGATACCTCAATTTTCAAAAGTTACCTCAAGATTTGTCATCACAGGCTCTAAGTAGTCATAAGGAAAGTCATTTCACTTGTTAACAATGAGATAAATTACAGGAAATAACAAATATCAGTGCATAAGGCTGCTTTCGGGGTCTGGATTATTCGGGGGGGGTGGGGGGTGGGGGGGTGTGGTGTTTGGCTTTGCTTTGTTGTGGTTTTTTTTACCACTGCAAGTACTCAACAGTGCAATGTCATCTGTGCTGGGATGCTTGCTATTGAGCATATCCTTGAAGGAATGGAAAGAAGCCTAGATAAGGGGTTAATAGCCTGCCCACAGACACAAAGCTGTCTGGATTCCCCAAAACTAAGCTGTCTGTGTTAAGCTGTAGGAGTCTTTCATGATGCAGACTGGATAGATGATGAAAAACTGTATATTCTATAATGGTAAGTGAAAAGTATTGCACTTCAGGAAAATACAACTATAGTCTGACATGTGCATTTATACTTGGTATCACACCAAGAGTATGTCGTGATATAAGCAGAATAGTTATTAGGAAATAAATAAAAACCACAGAGAATGCCATTTATATGGTTTCAGAACTCACTACATACCCACATCTTGGATACAGCATCTTCAGTCTAAGACTAGAAAGGTGGCACGTATTGATGAGCAGCCAGACCAAACCCAAAAATGAAAAATGAAGTCATTCATCCTACTGTATTTTACTAAATCAGAACTAAATGCAACTCGTTACTTGTAGGGTATCATTGAACTCAAACCAGAATAGACTTCAAGAATTTAACAGTCCAGCTATGTGCCAAGAAAGCTAACAGTTATATGCAGGGGTAGGAAACAGCTTGTACCTAAGGAAAAAACAGGTGGAATATGGTTCTTTAAGGAAAGGGGAATCACCAACATGAATCAATTCACAGGGTTAGATGTGTTCACATGGGAAAAAAGGCTTTTGCCAGATGCTGGACAGGACAATCCATGTGCAACCTTAACCACCTAGGACTCTAAGGCTGAGGAGCAGCATCAGGAAAGGATGATGCTACACATGCCCTGTTCTTACACTTCTGCCTATTGGACCTGTATGAATGAGTACACTGTGTTAGAGATGGTTGGTCTGACAGTGTGTGACTGTCCTTGCAGTCTGCTTCCATACTATTTTTCTGCTTGTTTTCCCATTTAAAAACTGTTTCAGGAGTAGAAACAATTGCTAGGTCCTATTTACACACAACAAACTGCAAAAAAGAAAATACTTCCCTTCTTAGAAAGCTGGAAAAAAAAAATAAAGTAGAGATTAAGGACAGACTTAACACACATTTAAGAACTTCTATCAAGTACAGGTAGGCTTTCCAACTCCAGAATAGTATTTGCTGCTGAACAGACACCCTACTGAAGCTGTAGACCCAAATAAACAAACCAGTAAATAATATTAAATACCTTGCTGTGTTCCAAATGCCACAGGAGCTGCGACAGGACAAAGATGTGAACTCCTAACTACTGAAGAAAGATGGATTTTCCACACAGTTGCGTCTTATTCTTCTTCACATCTACCAGAGAGAATCACTAACCTCCTCTCAAACAAGGGAGACAATTTGTAGGGGATTTGAAAGCACGTCCCTGTCGCGTCCCATCCAGGATTTCAAGAATTAATCCCCCACCAAAAGCAAATATTGTACCTGGGCTAAGATTCAACTAGAAAGTGGTTGAGTCAGCAACATGAAGCATTACCTAAGGAAGCTCAGATCATTAACAAAGAGGTCTCCAATGTCATACTCACATGCTTGTAAAGACTACAGACTTACATAGGACAGGACGGCTACTTAAAGCAGCTTTATTCTAAAGCTCTATCTTCTCCTTCCTAGGGTTGCAAGCCATCCAACCTGGTAAGCTGAACAGACAAGAGCCATTTATGAAAAAAAGGGAGTTCATAAAACACCAAACCAAGTCTCTATAAATAGATGCCATTATGAAGGACTACCAAACATTGAAAACAATGTGTTATTCTCGTAACGACTAAGCTGTTTATTATTGCTCCATCAACATCCCACTGGCATACTGATGCCAAACAGTATGTTGCTAGCTAGTGCACCTCCCCTCCTTAATTGGCTTATAGAGTGAGGCACAACACCCAAGATCTAAGACACATGAACAGAGATTTCAGTCATTTTAGCTTTTCTGTTGATGAATGTCCAAGAACAGCTTCCCCCCCCCCCGCTTGAATTTGGTCTTGATATTATGCACAACAGTATGTGTAATTTTTGGCTTGCAAGCTGCATAAACAGCTGTAGCTTTCCTCTGGGCTGCATCTGTTACTTTGATTACAGGGATCACATGATATCCTCTCCACTTGCCAGCTTGAACAGCACCCTTCATCTCAGGCAGTCCTGCAGTCTCAAATCAAGTTTGCTTTTCTTGCAGACAATTACCGGCATTTGCCTGAATGCAGTGGCCTGGGTACATGAGTTATCCCAAAGAAATGAACACAGAACCAGTGTTCCTCAGCATTTTCAGTGTTTTCCAAATTCCAGCAGTATTTTATTAATTGGAGGTGGATTGTTTGGAAAGCTTAATCACTACTCCACCTAATCAACTGGCAAAGACAAACCAGACAGCCCTAAACCATGGAAACTCACATGTGCAGAAGAAAAGCCAGATCCTGGTTGTAGGAAGCAGGGAAGAGACCCTGGAAGCTAACCCACAAAATCAACACATTTGTTCAGTTATGAAGTGCAAAGGCAAAAGAGATAAGGCTGGTTTTGTTAAGTTTGTGCTGCTGCTACTACAGGATTACTAGTCCTTCAGGAGACGAATGAGCATTCCTGTTATACCTGCCAGTCCTCTGAGGGCCTGGGAGGTGTGGGTACATGCACCACTGCAAACATCTTCAGGGCAGCTTGGAAGCAGCTTTGCCGTAACACATAATTCCTAACGCACCCTGATGTCTGGAGAAAGGTGCCCACCCCCCAAAACCACCTGAAGGGCATCTGCACCTTTAGCAGAGAAACACTACAACAGCCACCTCTGCACAGCAGGTACTATTGATTCCTCCTCTTCCCTCTGCAGGCTGAAGCAGAAAAGGGGGTCACAGAAATAAGTAAACTATGGGGGGGGGGAAGCTAGAATTGGTCACTAGAATTTCCTACATACCTTGGTACTAAGGAATTTTTATCTAAAATGCTTAAGGTCTTAGCTAGCTAACCCTTATCCTTGAGTATTATTAACCTACTACGTAACAGCATCAGCAGGCAAAACAAAGCCCTTTGTGTAAGATCTGCACCCACGTTGTAGAAAACCACAAGTGTAGCAGCCTGAATTATAAACATCCTAAACCCATTCTGATCCTCAACAGAGCCTGCAGTTTTTAATATGTTAATCTCCCAATAATCTTTCATCATGCTGACTTGTCATTTAGTGATCTGCTTTCCTGCAGTAGCCAAGGTCACCTGGACTCTTGGTAGGTGCCTTTTCAAGGACATTCTGCCACAGCAACAGGCAGAAGAGAAAATATCTTGCCTTTAGAAATGCTTCAGAATGCCAAAGTGAGCCTTTCCATTGTTGCTACAGTTCTCACTTCCAAGAGCTGGACAGGCGGCTTCTTTTCTTATGAGAACAGGAGGGTGGCCAGTGATGGCTCTTAGTTATGTATGAATTTGTACGTTGAACAGCTGAATTTTGCTTTGTTACTCTGAAGAAGGAACCAGAGCATTATCTTCAACAAGGGGTTTTGTGTTTTAAAGAAATGCGCAACTCCTATTCCTGGCTTAAAAACTTCACAAGGTAGCAGTCAAAGTACCACAGCAGAAAAAACCTTCTACTTTCAGTGGTGTCTGAAACAGCAATACTAATTTCCTCAATTCAGTATTTTATCCAAAACAGGCAAGAACACATCAGCCTTTCAAGGACAGAGGCACTTGTCCAACATGGTAAAACTTCCTTCGGTCTCAAGGTAGCATTCCCGAGACAGGGCAAAACCTGCATTATCCTCTTTCCTGCTCTACTCCAAATCCCACAATGCGGCTGAACACAAATCCACAACTCATCAGGAAAACAGCACAGAGAAACATATTTCAGGATCACCTCTTCATTCAGAAGATCTCACACAGACACAGAAATAAATGAATCGGAGCATTGTGGGGGTTTAAAAGCAGAACACAGGTTTATTTACAATCAAGTTTTTACGGGCAGCTGAATAAATAAAAACTTTGCCCCATATACTCTAATTCCCCTCTGCAGAAAGTGTCTGAACAAAGGCTAGGTTAGAGAGATGCCTGTTATAGCAGCTGCCCCCTAATCCAGTCCCTCCAATGAACACACTTCCTTAGTAAAACACTATCAGGAAAGAAGAAAATAAAGTGCAAATAAAAAGGCAATAAAACGCTGGTGGCTTGTCTTGAGGCCCAGATGATGTGGAAAGGTTTGGCTGGATAAAGGTATGCCAGGTAGCTCACACCCAGCCACATCATGGTTTTGGAGGCTTAAAGAGGAACAGAGTCAAGACACCACTCCGTAGCACAGAGAGGGCTCCAGCGCAAATGGGAATATTGCACGTGTGCTCAAGAAGGGGGCAAGTGGCCTGGAATTGCCAGCACCAAAACCATGGATTTGGGATTTAACCCCACTGCTCCCCTGTGCTCTACTGACAGCCGCCAGGACAGGACGGATGAACAGAAAAAGGGACCAAACATGGATATTCCGGTACTGAAGTCACAGTATGACTACATTCCTTATCACAGCAGCACAACAGAAGCTCAACTTCTCTCTCCTCACACCCAGTAACCAAACTGCTTGTGGAATAAAAAGATTAAAAATCTCCTATTTTGTGATACCCAAGCTGTTGAAGGGCATTTTAACAAAAGGGTGCAGAAGTCCTGAACAGTGGACCATCACCTTAAGAACAGATGAAACCGATACAAAGAGTTCACACAACAGTGCTGGAAAACCTGTGTCAGAATCAGAACAGATCTGAATTGAGCTGGTAACTCAAAGGCAGAGCTGCCAGAAGAGACTCTTGAAAAGCTGTTCCAACACTTCAGGCTACTTAGGACCTCTCCACATTTCAGGAGCTTCTCACCCCATGCCTGAACTAGGCCACAAGAACAGAACACAGGAGACAGGACATGTATTAAGTCAGCATACACAGTAACTTCTTTCCAACATTCCCAACTCAGAGGTGCTTGGATACATTTGTGTGACAGGGTATTTGGCACAGCTGACTGGTGAGGAATCCCATTAGTATCTTCAGCTCCACTTGGTGCATAGATACTTCATGTAAAGGCATGACTAAGTAGCATTCTCCATCCAGAGCAGCTAATCCCTTGCTGAGTCCGAGTGCCACAGTGCAGTTACGGCAAAAAGAAGTCTCTGACTCAGGCTCCTTCTCCATTGCTTTAGAACTTTCCTCTGGGAAGTGAAGCCCATGCGCTGGTAAATATCCCGACTCTGGATGAATCTGGGCTCAGGTCTCCATTCTGTTCAGCCACGGACCAGCACCACCATCCTCAGAGGTGTTAGATGCTCTGCCTTTCACCCTCCATCCAGTCAGAATTCAGACCACAGGACAGCCTTGTTTCCTTTGTCCACACTGACCACATGGGCACCTGCTGGTGACCATGCGACTGCATTGATGGAAGAACTGAAATGGAAGCCAGGTATAAGTTCACAAAAACATTGAATTCCACACCAGCACTTAACACTGGAATGAAGTGTTACAGTACTCTACCAAAGAAAAAGCACTTTCCCAGCTCTCAGGAGACTTGGGCTTTTAATAAGCCTATGAAAGATACAGTTTCTTCAGAATATATTAAATGTACTTTATTAGAATCTTATCTCGGGTTAAGAAGTTGAACATTAACAAATTAAACCTTAATTCAAGCTATAGAATACTGCCAGGAATCCACAAAGAATCTACATATCAATAATTCTCACGCCCCAATATAAGTTGCAAAGCTGTACAACTACATGTATTCTACAGCTCAGCAAGATTCACAACCCAGATACCTGCTTTAGATTATATGGCCAGCTTCCCCTCACCTGTGATGCTTTGCTAGTGTCCTCTCCAATTTCCCAGTGAGCACATTCCAGATGTAAAGGGCCCCATCAGCTGAACCAGCAGCCACATAGTTACCATCAGGGCTATGAGATCAGAGCAGGTGCAGAAGGCAGAGAACAATTTTCAAGTCAGCAATTCATCAGCATGCATAATATCACTTCACCCCCAACTTCCTAAGCAATCAATTTGGCTTTAAAGTCTTTCAAGAGTTTTGTATTACCAGCTGCTAACACTCAAATGTGAAAGCCCTCTAAAATCAGAAAGTTTCCAACCTATTGGATCAACATCTACAGATATACTCTGTCTTGACCAAGAGGTAACCTTGGCCAAATCACAAGCTTTGCCCCAGTTATTGTAGCTGTAAATGGGGACAACGCAGTCAAGCACCAGGAATCACTGACTTTCACTGGGGGAAGATTTATCAGATATCTTGCTTACATATCTGACCTTACCTGAACACAACTCTCGTCCAGTCAGAGCCACATTTGAATCCCTGGGCACTGAAAAGTTAGAATCAGATAATTATAAATTCATTTATAAGAAGATGGGCTGCAGGTTCTCACTAAAGAGTATATATAAGAAGATGGGCTGCAGGTTCTCACTAAAGAGTGTATGAGGATTTCTACAAGAGGTTTGGAATAAGCTCCAGTATCCCTTTATCACAATTTACATTTCTCATAAACCCACTCTCAACTGCACCTGAAGAAATTCTGTCCTTTAGGCCAAAGACTTGTAAGCCAAGCTATCTTCTTTAAAGAGGTAAATGAAAAGATCCACCAGAGCAGATCTTTGCTGTTAAAGACTTGAGAGAGCTAACCATGTAAAAAAGAAATCTAGGAGACTGCTCTCTCCATGGAGATACTGACAAACACTCCAGCACTGAGAGCACTCTGCAACCCAAAAGTACTGAAATTCATAATTTCAGTGGAGAACACTCTCACCTGAATGTCTGTTTGACAGCACTAACACGCAGATCAATGATCTTTAGTAGATCATCACGGGAACAGGTCAAAAGCTCTGTTCGCTCTGAGTTCAGGTCCAGAGCTGTGATTCTTCCAAGCAGCTCCAGTTCTTTTACTATGGTTTCGGTCCTAAAGACATAAAGAAGGAAAGAAAAAGAATAAAAGATAGAAAAAAAGAAAGGGTAAACCAGCATCCAGAACCTAAACGGCCTCCACATTAAAGTTTTGACTTCTCCCAACGTGGAAGAGGAGGAGAAAAAGGTTTACTGGTTTACTCTCACATTTTGGTTCCTGTCCAACCTAGATCTCACTTTGTGGATAGCATTTCCAGTTATCTAACAATTAGATACTACTTTCCTCACAACACCACCCTCTGAAAAGCTAAATAGTGTCTAGAATGACAAATACAAACCAATGCAAAATATTTACAAGAAAGCAGACTGCCTTTCAGAAAAGAAATGGTGTTTCCTCCCCCAAAAAATCCCAAACCTAAACCAGCAAACAATTCAAAAGTAGTAACAAAAGTCTCTTTCAGTGGCCTTCTGCAACTCTTGTAACATCTCATTAGCTTCCAAGCTCAGGAAGAAGAGTTCCCTAGTTCAGATTACACTCGGACAGCAATCCCATAACCATTCCTACACTATAAGCTCTCTTAACAATAGTTTTACCTGATGTCCCAGAAACGAATTTTCTTATCAAAATGTCCACTCATTACACATTGCTCAGTACATACGATGTCATTGCAGCTAGATCCTGCAAACACTGTTTTTATACCTAAAAAAAGAGAAGTCAATGGGGACACACTGAAATTTATGCTGTACAGACTGATGAAGACAGACAGAAAATAACCATTATACCACATGCACACACAATGGTCACACAGCAGTGTCCAAGGAGTGCCACAGGGCAGACAAATTCTGTCTTAGAGTAATCCTGATTTAAGTCTTCAACAACCTCTCTGCCCTTCTCAATCTCCTTTGCTGTGGCTAATATCCCTTTAAATGCTCCCAAGAGAACTGCTTTACTTCCACTTGGTATTTAGACAGCTATAATTTGCTACTGTTGAACAACATGGAACTGTGTCCTTGACCTATGTTTGCAGTCCAGGTATCAAGGTAACCTTGAATCTTCACTTCTCTCTCAGAGCAAGCATGTTTAAGAACCACAAATAGGAGAAAGGCCAAGGAAATAAGGTGTTTCTCCCAAAGAAAAATCTGGATCCTAGCATTCCCTTCATGTGAGTTTTTTGTACACTTCCAAGAGACATTTCCATCCATCTTAGGGTTAAAAACTGACCTGGCACCAAATTTGTAGACTAAAATACCCACCCCCAGCCTAACAAAGAACAGTCACAGAACACAGCTGCTGTTAATGTAATAGCATTAGCAGAGCTTCCTGCATACACATGCTTTCTTATTCTTATTTCAGGTAACAGACAGAAAGAATCCAGTTACTTGAATAACACCACAAGATGGGATGGCTGCTAGTTTTTGCTTATTTTTAGACTAGCAAGCAGATGAAATAATCTAGCTGTCAGACGTCTATTGACATTTAGCAGAAACATAGAACATGGATGAAAGACAGAAGTTGGGTTTCCTTACAAACTTTGCTGCGGAGGTCCCAGAGCTTGAGGGTCCGGTCATGACTTCCTGAAACAATGCGTGCATTGTCCAGCAAGAACTTGGCTGACAGAACTTTGCCACTGTGACCTGTCAGGGTGTGCTGAGGATGAGAGATGGACATGGTAAAATTGCACAGTTCCACTTGCTCCCTCTCCCCGTAGCTTACTAGTTCTGCTATTTAATAACTCAAAGACAATCTTAAATCATAACTGGAATATGTACTTCATTGCTTGGAGAAAAAATATAAACCATTATAGTTAAACACCGGGATTAACACTGAGTAGGAATGTCAGTACTACAGAGTTCAGCCTGAAGCTGGGAGACACAGGTCACCTTAGGCTGCAGTTCCTCTGTCAACTCAGGGAACCTGCAAGCTTCATTCCCTCCATACACCTACATTTCGAGACAGATGGAAACTGCAACCCAGCCTTGCAGGAGCTATGAGAAGAGAGGGTTAAAGCAAGCTGAAAATGGAAATTGTGCCTTCAGGTTTTTATAATGAGCTTCTGTGAAGGATACAACAGGTTGTCTAGTCTCAAACGTTATTATCTTTGCGCTTGAAACAACCAGAGATCTCAGAAAAACTCCCTGCAGCAGTTTATGGGGCTGAGAAGAACATGAACCACATTCACTTTGAATTGATGCATATTCACACACCTAAACCACAAAACAGATAATGAATGACTGAAGTGAGACACATGACGAGACACTGGCACAGGGTGCCCAGGGAAGCTGTGGCTGCCCCATCCCTGGCAGTGTTCAAGGCCAGGTTGGACACAGGGGCTTGGAGCAACCTGCTCTAGTGGAAGGTGTCCCTGCCTGTGGTAGGGGTTGGAACTGGATGAGCTTTAAGGTCCCTTCAACCCAAACCAGTCTGTGATTCTATAGGTAAGAATTGTGAAAAACGGGAGAAGTCTTTGGCATGTAGTTAGATTTATCTTTTTTTCCCTGATACTCAAAGGAGTATCAAATTACACAGAGTGATCTGGGCTTGGGAAATACAAAAGAAAACCCCTTAAGAATGGAAAGGAATGGGAGCGAAGTTTGGGAAAAACAAGCAAACCTGATAAAAACCAGTTCAAACTGAAAGAATGAATCATCCCATAAAACCCACTTTGTCTTAAGGACACGAATTCCAGAAAGGAGGATCTGAACTTTCGCTCTGTATCAATCTTTTGCTCTTGCTGCACAGTCATTGCATACAGATATTTGCATTTAAGTAGGGATTTTTTAGCAAAATTTACCACGATTTCAGCTTCATTGCCTCCTGCTTATGTGCAAGCCATAAGAAACCTATACCACACACACTCAAAACAAAGAATGTCCTATTCTCAGCAAACAGTGAATGCACTTGCCCAAAGCTGGTAGTCACCAAGGACACCAAAAGAACTACAGGAAGATACTGTGAAGCCAAGTGGATGTTTGCAGGGATAACTAACTTCATGTAGTGAGTAGTCTCTAGTCTGTTAAACTTTTACTCACTATAATTCACATCCAACAGTAGGTTTTGCAGCCAAACAGAAACTGCAGAAGAACCAGTATTCTTCACTTTCCTAACTGAGACCTGACTTCTCAATACTGAGAACTACCCAGTGAATCACAGTGCAACTTCAGGTTATATCTAGCATGTAAAATGTCAGAAGATTCAGTACATCAAAGTAGCATCTTCCTAAAACAAAAAGTTGAGGAAAAGTGTACAAAGGAATGACAATAAAAACACTCTTAGAAAGCTGAAAAGAAGCTTTTCTTTTGGCCAAAGGAGAATCCTTCTTTAAACTAGAGCTAAATACTGGAGAAGAACATGAGTACAAAGAAATTGGGAGGAGAGGGGGAAATCTATCAAAAGACACCAAGAATCAAGTCAAGCACTTTTTGGCTGGCTGCCTTTAAAAACTAGACAAAAGACTCCAAGAATGCTGCTCCTGAGTTACAACAAAAGAATCCCTCTTTGTCTTCTGCAAAGCTCTTCAATATTTTAGCCTCAATCCAAGGAGAGGACTACTGAAGTGACTCTCAACAGACCATAAGAAGCATTTAAATTTCCACAAAAGGGTTTGCAAAAATCTCTTAGGTTGCGGGGGGGATGGAACAGACACAGACTATAATGTGAAAATATGCAGTAACTGGAGTTTCCTGCAAGGCTGTGCAGAGACCAATACTGTATTCTACGTCTTGCTCTGAAGACCCTTAAGAAAACAAGATCCTGTTAACTAAAGAACTATTTAAACTGTCTGCAAATGCCCAGCTTCCAAAAATCACCATGTTTCCATTAGACAATACTGGAAATACAAGACCGCAACAGCCTGAGTACTGCTTTGCCTTTAAGAGACTCACCCGTAATCGATTGTCATCAACCGTCCAGATTCTGCTGGCAAAGTCATTTGAAGCTGCTAAGAGGTAAGAACCCTGTGAACACAAGATTAATTGAAAACTACTTCTGCTAGTCAATACGCAAATTAAACTCAAAAGTATGTCCAATAAATCATTAAAACCACATTAATGCTATATTGCAAAGGGAAAAAGAAGAACAAAATGAAAACTACAGTAGCATACATGACCTCTTAGATGGGCCTCAGACTGGAATTCACCCAGTTCTTGCAATTTTCAGTAAAATTCTAATATTTTAAACACAGATTCCAAAACCTAATTCTGTCCAAGGAGAGAAAAATTGACTTGCTCATGACTTCAGGCTTAGGGCTCTTCAAAGTTATCCATGATGGAGAACTGTCACCACAAGATTCATGCTTGCACTCCTGTCCATCTCAAAGACCATTAGCATCTCACCTCAGGCAGCTCTTGCCTCAGATCTGTTCAAGCAACTTGCCAAAATCAAAGGTAGTATCTCCTGCAGATTAACAGTGCCAGCAAATGTCAAACGAGCTGCTCAGTGTCCAGAGCAAGGATCCTTTTGGGGGTGTACCAATAAAGTTTAGCACTTAGAATCACTGAATGGAAGAAGTTATGTCAGCTTTGGTCTACTGTCTGTGTGCAGTGGAAGAGGTCTCAGCAGAAAGTCAGATCACATGTCTAAGTTAGAACAATCCAAGACCTCAAACTCCTTCAAGTATGACTGTTGGATGCTGATCCCAGCCATGGCTCTGATAGTTCAGGTTAGCATGAACCGCACACATCACAAGGTGCCAGCAAACACTGCCAGCCACACCATTACTGTGCTGCGACTGGTGAGAAACTGCTGGGAAGAAAGGTCGTGGAAGTGCAAGTCTTTAGAGTAATCAGACCTTTTACTATTCATCACAGATCTCAGCAGAGCACTAATGAAAACAAACTTCACAGAAATAAAGCCTCAGAGTACTTGCTGCTTCTATGCTGTTATACCAGCTTTAGTGGAAAGCTGGAGACCAATTTCTTACTTTAGACAAAACCTACTGTATTGTAATTTTACCATAATAGCCCATAACAGCCAATGTCTGAGCTGCATAACATCTCCTGAATTGTAAATAAAAGAGAATTATAGACTGCAGCATACCAAATAAAGATCTTTTGTACAATTTTAAACTATTTGCAGTTACTTTTGTAAGTATTTTAACTCATTCTTAAGTAACTTTTCAAAGTGTTAAAATGGTAACTGATAGCAGAGCACAATGTAATTAAATTAATTTATTCTCAATTACAAACAGTGGATATTGCTCAGATACTCACAGCACTATCAAATTCTATGCTTGTAATCCCAGCGTTACTACCAGAGAGGGAACCTTTGGGCTCACACCTATCTGCACAGAGAAAGATGAACAAAACTTAAGCAGCAGATTAGAACAGAAGCTGACACAAAGCAAACTCTGAGTTGGTTCAGCATCCCACCATACCCCAAAGCAAAAAAAATTACCTCCCAAGACTTCCCAAAGCTTAACCCTCCGGTCCATGCCTCCTGTTGCTAGTAACCGGGAGCCAGGGCTGAACTGCACTGCATTCACCTCCCCATCATGTGCATCCTGAGGAGTGGGAGGAACAGAACAGCCACCCAAATCAAATTAGCATAGACCCAAACCCCACAGATCAGAAAGCTATAGAACTTAAAGGTTATACAGAACCACAGCTGTTGATCTTTTAATAGTATAATAGGAAACAAAGGCACAGACTGAAACTCTGCAATAGTTGATGGTGTGCAGAGAGAGCAAAAGGGCTGATCTTTATCTAAAGGTAAAAACAAAAGCACATAAAGAAAAAACCACTAGCAAGGATTCAACAGAGATGATAAACTGCCAGAAGCTTTACAATGCTTCATAAGTTTAGGCATTATAAGGTAAGGCTTTAAAGTTACACCAGGAAAAAAGAAAAGGAAACAAGTGAAGAAAACAGTCACAGGTGATATGCTGTAGAAGGAAACTAACTTTTCATTTCTCCATCTAGAGCCAGCCATGGAACATGATCCAATCAGTTCATGCAACCACAGAACAATCAAATCACGCTTGAGTTAGGAAAGTCTGCTAGAAAACAGTGTAACAGATTAACTGCATTCATTTACTGTACTGGTGATAATGCTACTTTTTATTGGTGCTTTAGCAGTACCAGCACAATTGTGACAATACCTTCTCTCAATGAGAACTTGGGCTTAAGCCATGGTTCCTACCTGCAAGTGCAGTGACATTCCTGCACCCCGGCTTTCTCACAGCTTTAATGTTTTGAAACTAGAGCTGGCCACTTAATAGTGATTCTTCACCTTTTAAAACCTATGAAAATTCAAGATTCCTTCCTTTTTTATCCCTTGTTAATTTCACAGCTTTATACTACTTACCACATGGTATTAATACCACATCCTTAATTCATTTGCTGCATTCCTTTTTAAGCATTTTCAGTAACTGTTCTTTCAAGATCCATTTTTCTGGAAACTTGTATTTTTCTGGAACTTGTTGCTTGAATTTGGTCTGCCAGCTCATATTTAGGGGTCATCACACTTCAAATCTGATCTTTCTACAAGTGCAGAAGAGCCATTCAGAACAAAACTGGTCAAAGGTCTTGCCTAGAAACTATGCCTGAGAATAGTGGTTGAAGTGACTACCTTCACTTTCTCAAGCCTGTTCTACTACTCATCTCTCAGGAAGTGAGCCTGGTCTGCTCCCTATATCTGCCAAACCTCTGGCACACAGTCCTTGCATTAATACCTAGAATGATCTGCTGGACCTAGGCATGTCCTCACCTCCACCTGGGCTCCAAACACAGGAGCTAAAATGTAACACAGATCACCTCCAGAAGGATCATATGGATTCTCATTCAATAGTAGGGAATTTTTCCTCTAAGTGCTGCAGTGCTAACCACATATTACCTCCATAGTGCCACAGCCTGACAGGCTTACTACTGCAGCTGTTCCTAGTCCTGCTGCAAGATGGGAAATTGGAATGGGGCAGCACTCCCCACACTGTCAAGACTAGGGGGTCAGCGTAGTCTACTGTGGTTTGCCTCTCTATCAGGAAGACAGGCTGCACTGCTCTTGGAAATTCAGATGACAATAGAGAAGATCAAGGTGAAAACAGCATAACCTCACATATACAGCTTTCCCATACCTTCTATGATGAAAGTAGCCAGGATTATGTCTGTTCATCAACTCTGCTTGCTGTACATAGCCAGAAGAGGAGAGAGGTTGCAACACATACTGCTACCAAGAACACCTCTGATGCTCCCTACTCAAGCCAGCACCAGGCTGTCACTTAAGTTATGACCCTATTTTCACTTAAATTAATACTGGTACCCCCTCCACACCTCCTCCACTGGAGAAGATGGTAACAGGACAGGCTAGGAATACACAAGCCTCCATACTGCCGTGAGCCACTCTTACTCTGGATGAAAAAAAGTCATTTCATATCCATAAATATCCACATCCAGCACTGGAGTGCCTGTGAAAGCTCAAGAGGAGTGTTCAAACAAGCAGCTACAGTGCAAGACAATTTACCCCAATATCTTTCATTCAGAAGGCAATGCCCTTCACGGAAATTTAAGTTTGACCTTGTGAGGCCAAAACAACACATAAAAGAGGTCTCAGCTTGAAAACTTTAGATCACACACAACAAACAAAGACACCCCACTACCATGAGCTCCTCTTAACCAGTTCTGTTGGATGACATTCAGTGCCACAACCCCCTTCACTGTGGAGAACTGGAACTGAATTAATCCCAAACTGTCAGCAATCTCTTCCTCAGTCATAGCTCTACTATGGCATGACAGAACAGGGACTGCTGGGAGCCAGGAGGGTAATGAAGTGTAATTCCCCTGTGCCCTCAGACCTTTTACTAAGTCATCATTGACCTCAATATGACAAGACATCAAGCACATTTGCTCTGAGAAGCGTTTGGACTAAGGATTAAATGGGACAAACTATGCTACCAAATCACAAATTCCTTCTTGTTCAGAAATATTAGCAGAAAGTTTTGGGAGATCTGTTCCCACATAGATAGAATTCACTTCCTCCAAAGACAGTAAAAGGATTAGTAAATCCAAGAATTCCTTCCATACTTACAAAGACACATATGGCAGTAGTGGGTACTCTCACTTCTTTACTGGCACCTGGATGTGGCTCTACGTTGTCCTGGGGAGCAGGGAATGAGGACAAAGAACGTCTCCTGAGATGAAACAAAGTGGAAATATCTTAAAATGAGAAGTGAATGCTGTTTCTCTTGAGGTCATCAATATCTGTACCTGTCATTTAACTACACTGCACAGCGAATAATAAATGGGGGGAGGAGTTTTTAACTTTTATCCCACCTTTCAAAAATTACATGTCATAATGCTACATCCACTGCGGCCTCAGGTATTTCATAGTATGCCAGATAAGTTACCTGAACTAATTACTGACCTAATTTTGGAGCAGACTTTTTTTATTTGTTAATAGGAAAGAGAAACATAGGAATAACTGCAGCTGAGTTCAACTGGAGAGAGTGCAACTCCACCATTATGCCTAGGGAAACTCAACACCATTGCAGCACTACCTCCCAGGCAGCAAAATGCTCCATTCAAAAGCTCAGGCTTTAACCAAAGACTGCCCACCTAAAGCAGAGCTTAACTTAGAAGGAGTGGCTCCACGCTGGAGCCTAAGCACAGAACCCAATGACTTAAGCAACCCTATTAAAGGAGCAAAGTGCAGTGGAAAGTAAGAGCAAACTCCATGTATTCTCTCCACAGAGGGGCTCATTGCCTCTCTAACTGTAGACAGTTTCTAGCCATTGTTATCAACATCTGAAATCTAATCAGGATAATGCAGCTAGGTTCCATGTTATGTCAATGGAGTACAATCACATGCTGGACTAAGAGTGGATAATGATTTCACCTGGCAGCATCAGAAGATTGGTGTCCCAAAAGGGGAGACTCAGACAGACTGGAGGGAAAGGTCAGAGGTCAGCACACGGCAAGATGGAAGAGACAGGAAGTTGAGGAGAACAAAAAAGAAAAGAAAAAGAAAGGCAGAAGCTAGAAGAAAGCTGAAATTATTGTTTGTATTCCCTGCATCACCAAGATTTTGGCGTACATTTAAACCAATATACAAAACAAAGAGGTGAAAGTGTTCTAACCTACCCAAAGATATTAGTGATAGAGTCCAGAAGGCCTCCAGCTGGCTGGGAGAGTCGCTTACTGAAGGAGGGGAGGACAGGTTTAAACCTTGTGAATAGCTTCTCCACATAAAGATCAACACAAATACATTTCATAGCAACAAGTCTCTGGAAAGACTCCCTCCCCTGCAGACCCAGTCCAAAGACAGAAAACACCAGAGGCAGGCATCAGTTCAAAAGTCACCAGTAACTACAACTCAGGACACAATCTGCAAGTGGAGTTCCTTCAATTTCCCCTCAACCTCCACCTTGTGAATTACTGGCTTCAGATACAAGAAGTCTGAAGTTTCAGCCAAGTTAATCTGTGCTCTCATGTAACTACCTCTTACTTTCCACTCACTGCTATTTTAATGGAAGAAAAAGAGGCATTTAATATAGCTGAAGATTATTTGCAGCATTACGGCTAAATCCAAAAACCTGGCTATTTGCAAAGTCACATTGATACTTTGTATACTCACAGAGACATAATCCAACAGGCACTGTAAAACCCATGCTAGTGCCTATTTTGTTTTTAAACCTCTGGTTTTAAGATCAAACACAGATTTTTCAGACACTAGCGTAATTTAGTTAGAACAGCAAAGGAAAAACAGCGTCTCTATAGCATGGTATCAGAGAACACAGCACGGGAGTGTTCTTCTCTGGTGGAAGTACTAAACTCTGTTCCAGCTAAAGGCAAGTAAGAACCTTAAGTAGCATAGTTCCAACTCTCTCACACCCCTTGTTGTTCCTCAGTGACATGGTACAGAAATCTTTTGGCCTACAAACCTGGATGTTCGGCTGACAGCTCGCACTGGAGACGTCTCCTCAGCTGTGTCAGAGGTTTCATCTGCAAGCACTTCGATATCATCATCCCTGCTGAAGGGAGAGAAAACACCTCGTTTTCAGTCAGCCAGAGCTTCTTATGGAAACCACCTGCTTGCTGATGTATATGAACTGAATGGATGACATGTTCCAGGGTCTGCAAGTGCCTGCACCCAATCCACATCTATGTTTATTTAGGTGTAGCAACACATAGGTAGATCCAGACAACACAAATGCTGATCTGGCTGTCACTACCAGAGATACTACATTTAATATACAATATCTGCAAACAAGTATATGCACCTAAATTTCAGGCTTTGTTTTTTATTTTTACTTTGCAGCCGCTAATTACACTCTTCACTGACAACAGGGTTGAATGGTTATGGGTTCTGTTGCCAAGCATCCATTCCAGGCATTATATTTCAGCTTGCAGCATTACAGATGGCATTATAATGACCTATCACATCTGAGCAAGACTTTCCTGTGGAGTGAATAGTTGCTGGAACAGTTAGAGAACAGCAAAAACATGAGTTACTGCAACCCCAGATATGAGTGGTACCCTATTTTCACAGCACCTTTTTTGCTGTTCCAAAACACGGATGTATAAAAAAACCACAAGAGTTTGAATTTTCCTTGATCATCCACACCAAAGAATTCTGATATTTTCTTCTATATGGCTGTACTTCAGGTTTTGCTCCATTAAATACAGGGGATGTTTTGGTTCACTTCATTGAAGTGTTGGTTTATGACTGCACAGAAGTGTGAGGGTCCAATACATATATTCTAAATGAATCCAGCTCAAGTACTCATCCAATCCTAGGTTTTTCCCTGTTAGTCATCATGGAATCTGACAGTGTAGTATTTTTTCCCTTCAATGATGATTTTTCTTCCACTGCTGATTTTGCAGGACAAGCTATTTTTAAACACACTTTATCAACCTGATGCCAACTGAACAGGAAGTTTAAATTCAGCACTTAAGAAGAAATAAACCAATTCCTGCCATCAGTTATCACTCAGCTGCAAAAGAATTGGAGAGGATGGGGCCATTTTTAATCTCATTTCAGAATACAGCTGTACTTTGAGTTCTAAGATTCTGGAGGACAGCATGTATGAAAAGGCTATGGAAAATACATACTCTGATTTAAAATATCAGGCTGAGATTTCAATAAAACACTATCAAGTTCTGCTGACATTTCTTTTAATAGCTCAAACTTTAGATTTTAAAAATTAGTGTGTAGCTAAAGAACTTTCCATGTTAACTTAACCTATTTTTGAAGGGAATATAAACACCAGGCAACGCTTCTTGAAATGCTGCAATCTCCCCCTTTAGTAAGCAGCACATTTATATAACACAAACCCTCTAAAATTACAAAATCAGAAAAGAACCAAACACATCTGTGAAGCAGAGTTTGAGTTGTTTACAGAAACAATTATTTTATAGATTTTAACAGGCTTTTTTTCTTTAACTTCTCAGTATCTTCTTTGAAATAATTTCTGTAACACAGAGACCGCCATCCCCACCACAACAGGAAATAAAAATTCAAGCTGCTGTGCTACAGCTACCCCTGAGCTCAGGACTAAGATAGGAAGGTCTCACTTTGGGTAACAGAGAGGAAGAAGCTTAATAGAGAAAATGGCCACAGACATAGTACGTGTGTTTTCCTTCAAAGCGCAACATTATTTATTTAAGAGCTTAAAGTTCTAAGATATTCTCTGTGTGTTTACAAAGACAACAGATACCAAGGAAAAGCCTGCACACTGCTCTGTTACTGTGCTCTGAAGACACTCTCAGTGGTATTCAGTAATAATGCAGCTGTTGATAGTTAGTCGGCCATGCAGTTTTCCTGGATTTGGCTAAAACAAGTGCCAATAACCTTATCTACATGGTGCAAAGCACCTATACTACCAGCCTCCCACTTCAGTCACCTGATTAAACACTACCTAGGAGCAAACACAGCAGTGCAAAGAACAAGAGACTAAAGAGATTTATCTCTGGCTTGCGAGGAAAAGTAACTCCACGTCTACCTTTTTTTTTTTCCCCTACAGAAAAAAATATCTCCCACTATGGAAGTATACTTTCACCCACCTTAACTCATTCAGTACCTGTTCCTATAGGTAATCCTTGAACAGATTTGTAGCCTAACACTTGGAAATGCAGGCATCTGCAGAGTGCACAACTGAAAAACTCTTCTGAAGACCAAAGGCACTGCATAATAAATGTTTTAATGCTGAGATAACAACATATATTCACCATATGAACAACTCTTGTGACTTTCAGTCCAAGCAACTATTTTTAGTCGTAACAGAGCTCCTTCTTCTGAAAGTTTAAGTAGGAAGAGTTACTGTACATTTTTGACTTTACACCAAAGTTTAAACACTCCTCTACTTCACCAAATTTAGAAGTATCAAAAATACCATATATCATGCATCTGCATAAAACCAAAGCATGAAGTGATGAAGGAGACTATAAATCAAGACTGCTTACGGTTCAACAGGCAGGGGTTCTTTAGCAGCTTCTGCTAGCTCCTTCTGCAGCCTGGCTTGTCGTCTCCTAAGAGAGAAGGTAGCAAGGTGATTTGAAAACCAAAACCACACCAAAACTCCTTAAACCCATTCCAAAGGTTACCCTGCACAGTTTTGACGGGCAAATCAGACCACTACCCTAATTTTATCCTGCTTTGCAAGATACTCAGTGCAGGAGAGGCAGTTTTCTTATTGTGAATAGCAAAGGACAAAGTCAATCAAGTGAGGGAATAAAGCTAAATATACCTATGGCCCTTTATGACCCACAAGAATGAGGATTTGCTTGGAGTGCAAGAACTTGCAAAAATAGTAATTATATTAGTAATACAATGATTGTTGGGAAATACAAAACTGCCAAGTACTATGAAACCTGAATTACAACTCTTAGACTCCCAAGTATTGTTAGCTGGCAAGCAAGCTGAAGCAATTCAAAAGAAAAAATACTATTTTACAAGAGTGAAAAAAGAAAACCTGCGGACTTATTTTTGCAAGTTACATGTAGGTCAGTCCCATGGCATCTGCTCTTTTGAGAAGAATGCAAAAAACACTTAAGTTGGTTAAGTCCAAAAAAGATAAAACTTCAAATAGTATCAAGATGTAATATAAACAAGAGAAGGTCAAATCTAATACCAGCAAAAAGCCCCAACAGTTTCTATCTGATTTATGATCTACAGGCCATAGTTAAATGTTTCTCAAGAAACAAAAGAACATGTTTTATCCATTTAAGTGACAGGAATGTTTTTGCAAAGCATCCATCTGTGTTGGCCAGAAGGATGAACACAAAGTTCTGGATTTTAATGTTATGCAAGAATAGAGAGACCTCAGTCCAAACTAACTCTGGTTTTACTCTATGCACTTATTATTCAAAAATATATTGCAAAGTTGTTTATCAAACAGAGGTCATCAATCTCACCTTGAATCCTTTTCATTTTCTGCATTCAAACGATTGGCTTCTTGTGCTTTCTCTGCCATCCAACGCGAGACCAACTCCTGGTTGTCTTCAGTAGTTTTCCTCAGTTTCTCCTCCAAGGCATTGAAGGTGATCTGGAGAGCATCATATTCATCTTTCAGTGTCTGATTAGCTCGCTCAAGATCTTGCAGTTTGCTACGCAATTCCTGGCACTCTGTTTCCAGTTCAGAGATCTTTTGTAAATACTCTGCAATCCTGGAACAACAAAATATACAAAACCATGAGGATCTCCTTTGGGACATATGCCATCACCTTTGTGCTCTTTGCACAATGCCTAACAAAGGAATTTTTAGCCCATGACTAAAACTCTAAGAGAATATAACACTAATAAATAACTCAACCAGAAGTCTGAATCTCATATCAACCACACAGACGAAGAAACAGTTTCTACTCACTTTGCTTCATTCATCTGCATCTCTCTGTCCTTCTGCTGCATTTGGTTATTCAGATCAATTACAGACTGGGCCAACTAGAGAAAGGAGAAAATAACATTACAAAACGCAGGGGTGCCAGCTGGAAAACACACACTGAGCAGCAACCAGCAGGAGTAGAGAGCAATCTAAGACAACAAGCATGGAGCAGATCTTTCAGGTCTTCTTTCACAGCTTCCTATACAGATCTGTGGACTTCACCTATCACACAGGTCATTAAATCAGAGAATCCACTTTCAAAATGAGATGTCAAAAGATTACTGTCCTTTGATCTTTCGCCCCTTCCCTCAGAAGTTTCTTTAATAAAGTCACATCAAACAGAATATGCATTAGGAAGAAATGTTATTTTTTGAACTAGTGGAAAAATCAACACAAACTAAAAATTGCCAAGTAAGCAAACCAACAAATGAGTGCTAATAACTTAGCAACAAATATTCCTGCTATGGCCAAAACAGACATGTAGCTCACATATTGGAAATACAGGTTTTCCCCACAAAGAAAGCTGCAGGTGGAGTCTCTGCAGTGGACAGGAAATAGAGGTGCAGAGGCCAGCACTAATGACAAGTTAGTCTGTAGTGACAACCAGTCAGGGAGCAGCAGTAAGCCCCACAGTGTGCCCAGGGAGAAGAAAGAATGAGTTTTGTGAAGGGTGCCTGCCTGGATGGTGGCTTAGGGTACCAGGCTGGGGGGAAAGAAGGCATTTTCAGTGCTATGATTAGTCAGTGCACACCTCCTGTAGAAAGCTGTCTCCTCTGTGAAAAAAGGAGCAAGATAACATTTTCCAGGCCTCCCTGTAGAAGTCTGCCGCACCATTCAGGTCCTAGCCCCTGGCACATCCAATCCACTGCTGTGATTTTGAAAAAACCAATTCTGCCGATGAAGTTTCCCCATCTTCTGATCAAAAGAGAGAAAGGAAGGAAAAAAACCCAACCAAACAGAGAGATAGCAGCTCTTCCTCTCTTCCAGGCTCAAATCTCATAGCTAACAGGACTCTGGGCTCCCTACTGCATCTACATAGCAGAACCAGGACTCCCTTTTCAGTTTAACAGCATGGCACCATCAATCTTTCCTTGTGCTTGTTTGTTTTGTCCACTCTTTTGTAGCAGTGGTGCTGCAAAGGGAGACAAATGAAACCACACACCTATTCTCTCACTTACTCCGTCTTGATGATGTAGAGCTAGTGGTCACGCACAGCTCTAAACAGTTTCTTCCTCCTCTGATAAATACAGTTAAAAACTTATTCGTGAAAACAGAAAATTAAGCACTTCTTAAAACTCATGCTATGCTGACAATGTAAGCTCTCATCTCCTAGCTGTCAGTTTTAAAGACCAGCCATCTCTGGTTTATTCTAATCGTTGACATGGGGAGCTTAAAAAGGCGATACATGAAATGAGGAAAAAACAGTGATGAGTAAGCGTGATAAAATTAAGGTCATGTTCACAATAGGCCATGTATGCACCATACAAAACAGAATAAGACTTTCTAACCTCGCCACGTTTCTTATGCAGCTCTGTCAGCTCCTCTTGATGCTTTATCTTCAGCTGTGCCAGTTCCTGCAACTGAGCATCATTCCATGTGCCATCATGTCCTGGACTGGAGTTTGAGAGAGAGGAAAACGACATATCACAAACCAAAATCCAACTACTTCTGTGCCTTTGATAGTCAGTCTCCAGACATTAGATTTCCATACTACATCAGAGATACAGGTCATTCCTGC